ACTTAGTACATTTACTTGCAAAACATCATGAACAGCTTTATTCATAGTCACAGTATACTGTACTGAAAGAAAAATCAATGAAGGCGAGCAATGTGGCAGTGACATGTCATCCCGGCTTCAAGCCTCTCACCTCTCACCTCTCAAGCGAGAGGCATTTTCTATTTCAGCTAACTAGGTCAGCCGGCTTTGTGACCCAAGTTTCGCACGGTTCACACATGCAGTTCAGTATTTCAGCCTGCAAATGTTCAGTCTCAAATATGTGGCTGCTAGATCAGAACCTATCATGTCATTATAGTTGCTAAACAGAAACTGAAAGCAGCGCCACATGCTGAAGCTACAATGACAAAAAAAAAGGAAGAAGATGGTAAAGATGGCGGAACATATTGGCAACTCATGTGGTTACATACTGTCAAGCATATTGGAATGGATGACCAGTCAGTATTGGTGATGGATGCTGAAACTAAACCTGATTACAGTGTTGAAGTATTTAATCATTGTCAGCTGAAGGAGGCCTGTACTCATGTGAGATGCTTTACTGAGTTTCTGCGATGTGATTCAGATCATGAGACAACTCCCTTCAACATCCTACACGGGTATTTATGTTTTATGGACACTCATCAAAAGAGTGATGATGGGGCATCATCATTGAGCTGTAACTCAGTGGCAGCTTTAACAGTTTCAAGCATAATCTTCTTTTGTCTGTCTCCATCCGGAAACATCATCCAGTAATCTTTAGAAACACACATGTGATGAAAATTACAAGTGTATGGAAAGTTTTACTAAACTTTATCTCCCATAACGTAAGCAACAAACAATGTTATTTCTAGGTTAACTACAATATTTAGCGGGCTTTAGGGTAATGTTAGAGAAATAGGACTGCAACATCCACCCTGTGAGTGCCAACCTACTACTCTATTAGAGTTTGGAGGTAATAGTGGCTTTATTCTGCTCTTCATTTGGTTTGGTAAAGTTTAAACTCCAGCCAAACACGCATCAGGAATTCCTCATGGTCACATCCATTTCTCTTTCTCAATCACCGTCAACCACCTTTGTACAGGGTGGGCTGGAGCCAATCCCAGCTAGCATTGGGCGAGAGGCGGGGTACACCCTGGACAGGTTGCCAGTCCTTCGCAGGGCACACAGACACTAACAACCACTCACACTCACATTCGCGCCTGAAGGGCAATTTAGAGTCACCCATTAACCTAGCCTGCATGTCTTTGGACGGTGGGAGGAAGCCGGAGCACCCGGACTGAACCCATGCAGACACGGGGACAACATGTAAACTTTGCACAGAAAGGCCTCGGACGACCACAGATCGAAACACGGACGCATATTCTTTGAAAATACAAACATTAAAGAGGAACTTTACACATCAAAGTCTACTTAAAGGTCTTGAGGAGTACTACTGAATATGTGAAAAATAGTTGAATATAGTCTTTGTGGCCCCAGAGAGAGCTATGTGAAGTCTGATAAACTACATCAAGAGATGTCACTTCAAGTTGTCAAGTTGAAGGGTAATATAGGTACCAGGTTTTGACAAGGAAGAGGATAATAGATGAGAATACAGATGATATCTCTAGTTCTGCAGCATTGATATTTATCTTTTTTTTAAACGGTCTAACTTGAGTTGGACAGTGTTATAGGAGCGTAATGCTAAATCGGTGGAGTACTCTAAAAAGGTGTGGTATGCGATTCTAATCCAATACACGTCATTTTGTCAAATTCAGCAAATATCTCCACCTGATCCGTTAGCTGTCCTTTCTCTGTGTGTGCTGGGAAAAAATCTGGTGTTTATACACAGCCCTGGCTCTGTAAATGAGAAACAAAACCAAGCCACACATGACAATTCCAGCCATTCCAGTCATGATTTGTGTGTTAAAATGCTTGCCCACTGGACAATTCAGCTGTCTGGAGCTGGTGTGCTGGCTCTGAATCTGCCTCGTCCTCTCAGCATGTTAGCTTTGCAGCAGCAACAGTTTGCTAACCCACAACCTAGCTAATGTTACATACATTATTTGCTGTGTAGTTGTTTGCTCTATGTCATGATATTTGTCATGGTTTTGGATTTCATCAGAATTACATACCCTACGTTTAAAGCATAAATTTAACCACTGTGTTAGGTACACCTTGCTAGTACTGGGTTGGACCCCTTTTTCACCTTCAGAACTGCATAATTCTTCATGGCATCCTTTCAACTAGGTGTTGGAATTCCTCAGAGATTTTGGTCCATATTGACATCATAGCATCATGCAGTTGGTACTAAGGGGCCCAAAGTATGCCAAGAAAAGGTCTCCCACCAAATCTTGTTCAAATGAGAATTATCAGAACTCTCTCCAGGAGTGGTTGTACTGGATAGTCAGCACGGACAATGTTGTTTATAAATCATTTTTCTGTGAACAAATTTGTGCCCTTTTTATTGTCTCTTTTATATATGTTGCTCCAATTGCAAACTACAGTGAGGTGACCAATAAAGCTGAAACTGGTGGCAGAAAACTGCCCCTGAACCTCACACCCTTTTCTCAGAGTTGGAATGTACCCAGATATTATTTGTTTACCCAGACTGTCAACATATCTGTTGAGCTAAGTGATGTAGATGCCTTAAGCTCACTTCCTGCCTGTCGGCAATAAAGAAATGGATGAATAATAGACAGACAGCACAGACAGAAAGACTGTAAATTGGCAAATCCAAAAGGGAGCTGTTTAAAACACTTGGTAATCTGCCCCCTGGATCAAACCTGGGTGTTATTTTAGACTACGACAAAGAAGAGAGAACACATCAAGCCAGTGCACTGCTGGAGTGATGTGTTTTGGGATTTGATTTTAAAGTCCTTCTACTTGTGAACAAAGCTCTTAACGGCTTAGGACCGGCCTACATCACAGATTCCCTGTTGTTTTATGTTCCTTCATGAGCCCTAAGATCCTCTACTGCTGGTTTTTTAGTTACTAAAAAAAAAAATGGAGATGCAGCTTCTTTCAGGTAAGCTCTCAACTTATGGAATAGCCTAAGCAGAGCAGAGCAGAGCAGGCAGCAAATTCTAAAATGGCGCTTAAAAACATATTAAAATGTGCCTTTTTCTAGCACCACAACTTATGATGCGCACGCTTCACATGGAGTCACACATGCTGTTCTTAAATGCACTTTTATGCCTTTAAATCTTTCAAATGGCTTGCCTTCACTGCAGTGCTAAGCACCTTATCTTTACCTGCCTTCTTTTCAATTTAATTTGTTTACTGTTTTTATTCTTTTTTAAATGTAAAGCACTTTGAGCTGCATGGGCTGGAGCCAATCCCAGTTACTGGCAAAATGCAGGGTACACCCTAAACAGGTTGCCAGTCCATCACAGGGCCACACACTCACACCTAAGGACAATTTAGGGTCACCAATTAACCTAGTGCGCATGTCTTTGGATGGTGGGAGGAAGTTGGATCACCCAGACAGAACCCACGCAGACACGAGGAGAACATGCAAACTCCACACAGAAAGGCTGGGGTTGGAACCCACGCTCTTCTTGCTGTGAGGCAACAGTGCTAACCACTACACCACTGTGCCACCCTGTTTTACTATATAATTACATTTAATACAGTATTTTTTTATTATTATTGTTATTGTTGTTGTTGTTATGTCTCATGATAGATTGGTGACCCTGTCAAGGGTGTAGCCTACCTTACCTCTTGCCCAGTGCATGCTGGGATAGGCTCCAGCCCATGACCCTTCCCAGAATAAATGCATATTTATAATGGATGGCTAGCTGGAGAGTTTAAGTACACTGAGAGCCCAGTGAGCAGTGTCTTCATCCAAGCCTATGTAGGTAGGAAGGGGAGAGAATTGTCAATTGTATATTCGTATATCCTACAGGGCCCTGTGCACAGGATAAGAGGTTGACGATGGATGGATGGATGGATGGATGGATATCCTACAGGAAATGGTGTCTGTCACTGCCAAATGCCTGTTGGCACTGAGAGAGGTGAAAATTGTGGGTGGATGTTGTCAAGCTAACAGTAGCTTCCTCTTTCTTTCTTTGGGCCACTTGTTTGGCATGACAGGAATAAAAACTAATTATATAAATGCCTGTTTTGCGGATGGAGTCTAGCCATTCTTTCTTTGAAAAGATCATTCAGAACAAAGTGATGTGTAAAATGTAGGCAATAGTGTTTTATTATTATCATTAGTTAGCGATATTTTCAGTTATTAATACTGCTTAATAATGCTGCTGTCTATTATTTGCTTGATTCATTGATTAGAAGCTTATTTGTTCTATAAAATTTTCTGACCTCTAGTCAGTTTACAGTGAAACAAAACAGAGAAAAGCAGCAAACCCTCACACTGGAAAAGATGCAAATATGATTGGAATTCTTGCTTAAAACATGACCTAAATGACTGATTGATGATCAAAATAGTTTCCATTTCTTTTTCTCGCAATGGGCTAATCGATCTTTCTTTCTCATAAAGACAGTTTTTCCTTGCCACTGTCCAAGTGCTTGCTCATGGTGGGAATTGTTGGGTTCTCTGTAAATAATATTACAGACCCCGCTCAAGCTCTGCTCTGAAAAGTGCAATGAGAAGCTTCTGTTATGAAATGGCGCTCTACAAATAAAACTAAATTGAATTGAATTCTTAAATTGAATTTCTGTGTAAAATCTTACTCTGATAATTATATCTCTCCGATAAATGTAGTAAAAACGTTAATTCCCTTTGAAATGCAATAGAGTAAAAGTATAAAGCAGCATTAATGTGAAGTAAATAAATACAATAGCCTAGCCAAACACCGCTGATCATGACACGTGCGTAACATCGAAATGCAGTTTATTAGTCAATTTGCACCTCCTAAAGGCTCATGTTTTTACTCCCTACGTCCGCTTTAAACCATCAGCAGTGGATTGGAGTGTGGAGTGTTCCCTACAACGTGGCCAGGTAGAATGTAAACAAAGGATCTCAGTCAGTAAACTGCCACAATCATTAAATAAACCTTTCTTTTATCTGAAGGGTTGCATAAACACCCTTTAGCCAGTGTAATTACGCATACAGATTGTTATGGCTTAAGGTTACATATTTAAGACGAATAAATGGGAACAATTAGACCGATTCAACCCTCTCAAATCTTCACATTAGGACAACGAGATGTTTCTTCAAATGAATGCCTGGAAGGAGGGTGATTTGGGAGAACAAGGAGCCCCCAGCAGTGTCTGGCTGTAACACGACGCTTCAGGAGTTGCCATCATCACATGGCAGATGGAAATTTCCACTCAGTCTCCTTGCTTGTTAAATGGGAAGGGTCTCCAACTCTTGTCTCCACTAGTTCTCCGCCTGCTACAGCTGTCCGCCACCCTCAAAGATTCGGTAAGACCCCGACATTTAGACATGTATTCCTTACTTTTAGATGTTATCTACCCTGCATGTGATTTGCTGGTTAACTCTGGCGACCATATTTGATTGCGTGGAAGCGGGTAGTTTAATTGTGATTATTTATGTGGCTGGAATCGGCTCGTATGGTTTTATAGCCTAACTACAAAATATTTTTTCTTCACTTAAAAGAAGGCTCATGTATGCGTGCGTTTAATGGCTTTTTAGACATCAGTGTTTCTTGTTTCATTGATCGTTCTTGCACATATATTCACAAACTAACATGTTAAAGAGACAGAGCAACAGTAGCGGCGTGCGGAGCGCTTCCTGCAGGGTGTTGCCTGGAGTCAGCGTAACGCTGCGTTAAGCGCCAAACACGCGTCTTTATTTATACAAGACAATAACACGTAGTTCTGGTGCGCGGTGATAAATAGTGTCAGAATTTTGCACCCAAAACACACGTTCCCACTTAAGCCCGCAGTTGTTCATATGGAAGGAAAACACAAAGGCAACTATTAGTGTTTCCTGTTTGCATTTTACAGACTGCTTTGTGCCTGCTCCCACTGTGTGTGTGTATGTGTGCAACACACACACCATATAAATGACTTGGAGTCATTACTTTGAAGGGATGAACAGAGGAGAAATATGAATATGGACCGTGGGTTTATGTAACACGCCGAGAGTAGCGTACTGTGTGGTCTGCAGGGCTCACTGAGGACTAATAAATATGTTATGACTGCAGTCACAGGCTCAAACTGCTGTCATGCTCAGTTTGGAAATATTGTACTGAATTTTTAATTCATTATACCTTGATTTGAAAACCTTGTCAGTAAAGCTGAGGGGCTCTCTGGAGCATTTCTCCTCTCAGTGTCACCACAGAAACTATTTTTCTTTCTTTCTTTTATGTCATGTTCTTTTTTCATTTACTGTTGTTTAACTGCAGTCTATCTCTCTTTGATTCTGCAAGTACTTGTTAATCACTCTGAGAAAGATAAACAGGGCTGTGTCATTTAGGTCTTGAGAGATTTTCCTTGTTGTTGTCAATTTCTTTGCTGTAATACTTTATGATCATCCTTGTCTTAAGCCACTTGACGTGTAGCATTTGAAGCAACATTCCCTAATGCCGGCCATATACAGCGGAGAACTGCTCATGGCTGAAAACAAAGGCTAGATTCAGCCAGGATAATATCTAGGCTTAGGCATATTTAAGTAGTGAGTTCAGTTTCTATCACTGCCTGTGTTGACAGCTAAAAATACCCGGTTGCCACACTGTGACTGTACGTGAGAACAACTGTACACGTATACTGTCAAACCCTTTCTGTTCTCTATGCACCTTACTTACATAAGAGTGAGAACCAATCTCGTAGTGTCTTCCCTTAATGAAGCTCCACCTATATGTTTGTCATATGGCATTTTACAGTTGTAATAGTACCCAAGGCCTGTGTGTTTTATGGCATTGCTAAAGCTTAGAGGTGCACAATCATGTGAGGTGTAACTTAGTTGATTGTGTAATCTGGAGTTTCTTTTTAATCGTTAGGCCTATAATTTAAAGGGTCACTCCAGCATCTTTCATCAGACCCTCTCTGACTGGTAAATGCCTACATCAACGCCCAGTTTAAGTTTATAACACAGGCTTTCTGTCTCAAGCCCAAGCTGCAGTAACCCTGATGATATCACCGTTGCATAATCAGGGTAATTTTCTCAAACTTAAAAAAAGCTCCTCCAGAGCCACAGAAGATATTATACAAGTGTTGTCATAGGCTGAGTAGCACTCAGTAAAATGACCTCCATCTGTAAAATCTGTGGAGTGCCCCTTTAACCCCGTTTTCGTTTTAAAACTCCAGGCTAGCGTATTAGTGTGGACAGGCGAAAACGAATAACTTGTTGACACAGACACTCACATTTGGCTTCCTGATTGGGTCTTATCAGTCATGCAAAGCGGAAACACAATGCTACTGACAATGTTTTCGTTTGTTTGCTTATTAAAATATTTTGTACTGTGTAAATAACGCTTATATACTTGTACGGTGCATGTCGTCGTAAATGCTTTGCAAGGATTTCCAGTCTGTTTTGAATGCTCCCGTGTTTCTTTCAGTAACAGTTCCACCTCGTTGTCTTTCCATGCAAAAAGAATCTCTGCTGTGGTTCTTTTCCATTGCTATTCTTTATTCATCTCTAGTAGTTCTTTCTGCAACTGCGGGAACAACCTGCTTCCTGGTTACACCAGTACATGCATGCCTAGTGTACGTAAATGGCCACTAGATGTGCGTTTTCAGTTGTTTTAATGTAGACGGAGGTCAATTCTAATACGCAGCTAAAATGATGGTGTGGACGGAGATTGTCGTCGTTTTAAATAAAAAAAACTTAGTGATGTGGATGTAATCTAAGTTAAAACACCTGACTCAACACTCCTCACTAACCTTACAAGGCTGCAGATGAGGTTAGATATACCAGCATAGGTTTGAACATCTGTCAACGGGGCAGGGCTTGCTGCTCATCTGCTGTTAGGAGACCTGAATGACACATGTAGGTCAGACCCTGCTGGGCGCCTGGGGGTTGAAGCGCTGCTGGTGCTAGCTGATGTAACTTGGGGTGCCAATGAGAAAAAGAGCTGCGAGCCAGATGTAGAGTCAGTTTCAAAGGAGTGGATATTACTAACACAAAGACACTGTGGCACGATAGGGAGAAGAATATGGCAGTTTTCCAAAACACTGTCAACACATTCAATTGAAATCCAGGAAGGTGGCTCTTGCATTGCAAGAAACTTTCTATTTTTACCTGCATAATACCTGGTTGCATAATTCAACCCTCTGGAATGTGCATTGAGGACACGTGAAATGTTCACCTGCACCTAAGATTTAAAAAAAAATGTGAATCATTATTGATCCTTGCAGGGAAAATCCCTTTTCTCTCACCATCCACATGGTGGTCAGAGGTCAGTTTACAGCGGTTCAGGTTCTTACTGAAACTCTTACAAACATGGAGGTATGTTGGCCGACACAGTTGCTTACTTACTTAGGTCACAATAAAAAAAACTTGATGGCTGTTCACACCAGGGTGTACAATTGCTTCAATCACATTATTTTAAAAGAACATTATTAATATGGGGAACCAATGTTACTGATCTATCATCTCATCAGAGGCATTTTATTTTAGACAGTGTAGAGCAATCTGCTTAAGATGACAAAGCATTTCCTGCAGCTGGTTTGAAGCAAGAGTTCTACATGTAGGAAAATTGGCTTACTTGCTGTCTTGCTGGGAGTTTGATGAGTTAGATCAATATTGCTCCCATGTCCACATATTAATTATAAAGCTACCTTCAGCAGCCGGTTAGTTTAGTTTAGTGCTAAAATGAAAAAACAGCTAGACCCCCATAAACCTCCACTTGCTATTTTTACAATTTGGTTTTTATACGGAGTAAGCAAATGATATATTACATGTTAATTAGTGAGCGTTATTAGCTTAGGACAGAGCCAAGCTTACTGTTATCCTTGTTTGCAGTCTTTCTGCTAGGCTAAGCTAACTGGCCGCTGAAGATAGCTTTATAATTATCATATACACATGAGAGGGGTATTGATCATCTCATCTAACGCTCAACAAGAAAGTGAATACCATTTCCCAAAATGTCAAACTATTCCTTTTAGATTGCAGTGTTTTAATGTCCCCATTCATAGACGAAATGCCCCAGAAGCTAATCCTAATGCGTCGCAACTACTACAGTACCACATGCGTACAATCGCAAATAGGTAATTTTCAACTTGTGTACTTGCATATTTTTATGCTTTTTCTTTAAATTTTGACCAAAAAGAATCACAAAATCCCTTGTCGTCTTTGACAAATGACCAAATCCAGAATTTTCTTAAAATAAGGCTTGTATTTGCTTTCAATCTGTCCAACTGCTGACTGCCAAGAATATGAACCAGTAACCAATTTGAATCAGGATTGATAAGTAGAATTGCATTGGATAAAATTTAAAGAATAGCTAATCCTGGGGGCAAGATCAGGAAAGGGGAGGTGATGCATTGTCAGCATGGTGGCATGTCAGAACTAACCAGTGCCCAGATGTCCAACAACGGGCCTCTGAATAATCAGAGCACCCCATGTTCATGGTCACTGATGCAGCAGAAAATGAGTTTTAGACTCCGTAAAGAGTCCCCCTCTGTCTTGTAAATGGAAGAGAATGAAATCTGTAAGAGCACATTGCTTTCTTATGACTCATGTTGCATAATTAAATTGACCCAAATTTTTTATTTGTACTTAACATAATGTGATAAGAAGCACCTAATTTGATCTGCTCGAGATTGTAGAAAGGGTTAGGGCTCCTGGCAATTGAATTGCTGAGGTGAGTTTTGAATTCAAGCCTGTGTCTTTTTTTAAAGGCCTCCTCTTCCGAAAGTCAAACCTTGAGCTGTAAAAGAATAACATATTGTTACGAAGCAAGATGCTGCCGTCATCATTAGCACACATCAGCAGATCAATAATAACTGATAAGATCACCAGAGTGCGGGTCTGCCAGAGCGGGTTCACAAACAAGTTTAGGACACACCATGCTCAAGTACAAAAGGCCAATATGGTGTTTGCTGAAGGCCATCTAATGTCACATGACACAGAAGTCAGAGTTTTTGTCGATATGTTTTTTTTCTCTTTGAATGACTGACTGCAGTATGATTTATTTTAATAGATCTTCCAAAGGAATTATGCATTTGCCTTTTGTCAAAATCTCCTGGAATTTCAAAGTTACAGTGTCCTCCATCAATTAGAAATCATGACTCAGTCCAAAGCAAATGTTCTATGTGATTTTCCATCAGCTTTCCGAGAATTCTCATTCATTCATCGAAAGACTTTTCAGCATGCAAAACCTATTGGTTGCAGATTTCTTCACAGGGTCAGTCAGTGATTGGAAACAACGGTTAGCTTTGTTAGATGTTGTATTCAAGGGCATAGATGTTAGTATACATTTTTAAGTCGTTATTTTAACTACTGTTGTCCATCAGTGTCAAGTCAATGTATTTGCTCAGTGTGTTACAGAATTACATTATTGAAAAGGATAATAGAAATCAGAGATTTTGAGAGTTAAAACTTAAGAAAAAGAGATGTAAAACCTGGATGAGGCTAAAATCATAATAGAATAGGCTTCTTTGAGTCATATGTGCCCATGTTAGTATTTCCTGCTGTCTCCAGCTTTGGACTGCAGTGTGGCGTCTTTCCTCTGAACGGTAGCTCTGTGTCGCTGCTGTCTCTTTCCCCCACGCTTAGAGAAATCTTTGCTCTGCTTGGGACTGTCTCACTGCTCCAGGATACTTCTCACTGAAGTGCCTGTGAGCTGCACTTTAACGGAGGTGGTGAAGTTAACATTTGTATAGATTTGTGGTGAGATTTCTATCTGATCAGAAGTGTTTTCATTTAGTTTCGGTATTACACCTCCTTGTCTCATGCAGTACTGTCCCAAACGGTTCTAACATATCAATAGAGAAATAGCGTAGGCCAATGCAAAACAGAGTAGGCCTATACAGTGATCTGATAAAAATATGTTTTTTTCATTAAGTTTATTCTCCAAATAGCTAATTTTTTTTCTCAAAATATTACAACTTCATTCTTGAAATGTCACAGGATAAAGATATGTGGGCTTTATTCAGAATGTGGGATGAAATGTTGGAACATAACCTGCACCCTTATTGTAGTTCTGTCATTCTTTGTGCTTGTTTTATTAAATGTCTTACAGCATGTCCTGCAGCCTCAGGCTATCCGGTTTTTGCTCCAGGTCAGATGAAATACCTGAGGTTCAGAGGTAAAAATTACAACACATTTGCTCTGGAAATACTGGGATTGTGCAAGCTTACTCTGAAGATGTTGTCAGACCATAGAAATGTGGTGAGAGAAAGTGAAACTTTGGTTTACCACCACTGGATGGATTGCTATGACATGCTATGACATTTGGCACAGACATTCATGGTCCCCAGAGGATGAATCCTACAGACACTTATCAACCCCCTCATTGTTCCTGCAGTTTTGTGCTAATTAGCAAATGACAACATAATAAACTAAGATGGTAAACATGGTATCTGCTAAAATCACAATGTTAGCTATAGTGAGCATGCTGACATTAGCGTTTAGCTCAAATCACAAATGTGCATTAGCATGGCTGTAGGAGGCCTCTATGATGTGGCACTGGCACTCTGAAAGAGCCCTAATTTGTCCTGTGCAGTGTTGGGCAGCAATATTATTACTTAATATATATATATATATATATCATTAAGTAATTATATATATATATATATATATATATATATAATTACTTAATGATATTACTTTTCCCAGTAACTAGTAGTGTAACGGATTACTTTACTAAGTAACGCCCGCGGACTAAGAGACGGCTCCCCCACCCCGAGTCTCGAGTCCACCGGTTCCCGCACACCTTCTCGCCAGTAAACACCGGTCTGCTCTTCACTCATGCATCCATCAGCACCGATCCGACTCCTCCCCTTCATCCCCCACCTGTCTTCCCCTCAACCCTTCATCCACCACACCTCGACCCCTACCCCTCATTCCTCGACCCTCTCCCCCATCCCTATATCCCTCAGCCCACCCTTCGGGCACTCGATCAGCTGTAATACTGCCATTATTGTGTCACAGTCTAAGATGCAAAGAACATTGTCGTCCGTGGTAAACTTTCGACCAGCAAAAGCTTTCAACCGCGATGGGGTGGTAGTGAAAGTAGTATAGTAACGTAATGAGTAACGTAACTAGTTACTTTTATCACCCAGTAATAAGTAAAGTAATAAAGTAATATTATTAATGAATTTTAAGGAGTAATAAGTAACGAGTAATTTATTACATTTCTGAGTAACTTGCCCAATACTGGTCCTGTGAGTCCATGGAATGGATGTATCCTGTGCAGAGCTCACTCATTTATTCAAAAGATATATCTGGATAGAGAGGATATGTAGTGAAGTAGGGGTAGTTGGATTGGAAAGGGGAGGATTTAGGTTAAATGCAGTGTTAAATGCAGTGTAAAATAAAATGTAGGGATTTAAAATGGAAATCTTCAAGCTATGTTTTAGTTCATCATTTTTAACCAGATGTTAGTAGTGGACCATAACATGTAGCACATGCATCCAACATGTAAATTGTGTGAAAAGGCTGAAGAAAGGAGGAGGGGGATGTCTCAACATGCCGCATATAATAAATTCTTCCCAAGTGGAAACAGACAGTTAGGATCATCTGGAGGAGGGTGTGCACTCAGTTCAACACGTGTGGCTCTCAGCTCTGTATGATGTGGTTCCACGATTTGCTGGACTCAACTTACATATGATGACTAAGAACAGTAGTCTGCCAAGTCAATCCACTGAATGTAACTAGCAGCTGTAAATCTGTCCTACATGACACGCTTCATTAGTGGCGACGATTGGTTAGGTAGGATTGAACCACTTACTCGAGACCCACTGCCTCAACAGTCTCACACACATCATAGCCCTTTTGCAGTTTTATGATTATGTTTCCACTACAGAGCCGAAAATGAGACAGTTGGGATTTGGGCTGAGGAGCGAGTGTGCTTTATACCTTTTTTTTAACAACTGCATACCTTCCTGACATTTCACTGGGGTATATACACATATATAAAAAAACAAACACAAGACCTGCTGGTAATAGAAGTCATTGTATCGTGTATGCCATTGTCTAGCCTACAATGCTGTGTGCCTAATTTGCAGTTAGCCTACTTAGACTTGTCTTACTGGGTTTAAATACTAGAATTAGTAGATTCTTGCTAGAGGACCCGATGACACGTCAGTGGGCTGAGCGGAGATGATAAGCGCACAGCTTTGTCTGTGTTGGCTGGCTCACCTTTCATCAGGACTAGACAAAGTCAACTTTATTGTCAATTCTACCATTTACAAGGTACACAGATGATTGAAATTGTGGTTCTCTCATGACCCATGGTGAATGCACAACAAAAAAATTATTTACAAGTCAAACAAATAATTTCCAAACTTGAGTGCAAATATTGTCCATACTGTTTCCACAGTGCAAAGGTGGATAGCAGCAGGGTTTTTTTGATTGTTTGTTTGTTTTGTGATCCTTTGTAGTTATGCATTCCTTTGTAGTACCGTGCTGATATAGGTGGGTGGAGGTTTTGCATTTTAGGCTTTTGGGGCAGAGGGGAGAGGAAGGGGAAAGTGTTCAGCATCCTAACGGACTGATGGATGGAACTGTTCCTCAGTCTGGTGGAGCTGGCACGGAGGTTCCAGTACCTTCGCTCAGATGGCTTTAGACTGAAGAAGCTGTGTGAGGGTTTGCAGGCTAGGCGGGTCCCGTAGATGTCTAGATATGAGAGTGGTATCAATCTTCTCATCTAACTTTTGGCAATAAAGTGAATGAGGGCATTTTCCATAATGTCAAACTACTGCTTTAACTTGAACGCAGAGAGAGCTGCAAGAACATCAGTGACTTTTAGCAACTCATCCCATTGACCTAAGGTCCATCTTCCTCTCAGGAGTAGTTTGCTAGTGATGCTTATGTGGCTCGAGTCAATTCAGCGAATAAGTTGTCATCATTTTTTAATTAGTAATTGAGTTATTGAGTGAGAGGAGCAGGCTGGTTATGACAACAATGAATCACCAGATCCCCATTGCCCTAGAACAACTCCATTTTTAATTCCACACTGGCTTTGTGGCTTCCAGTGGAGGACTGTGGTTGCAATTTGCAGCTCCTGTGACGTATGTTAGTTTGTGTAATGTGTGAAGCTTGACGAAAGCATGCCTTTACAACTTTCCATTATCTTTCAGAACACTGATTCCATTCAAGATTTTCTGCAAGATTGTTATTAAATTACCTGGTACGTAGTTATAATAAAGTTAAAAAATGCCAGACAGAAAATTTTATTTGCATGAACCAGTATTGAGCTGGGACTGTTACTGAATGTAATACGGGAGTGTGGCGGGGAAAACAGACTGGGAGTCGTCGCAAAGTAAACGGGACATGCACAGTACAAGTGTAGGCTATAAGTGTTATTGACACGGTTCAGAATATTTTAATAAAAGTACCAATTCAAACTCTGTCAGTAGCACCATGTGTCTGCTTTGCATGACTTATAAGACCCAATCAAGAGACCCGAGTGTGAGCGTCTGCGTCTTTAATGTCCTCCGTTTTTGCCCGTCGTCACTAAAACGCTACTTGGAGTTTCGAAATGAAAAATGGGGTCGGCAGCGTTTTCAAACTTCTCCGTTTTAGGTCTTCGTTTTTGCCGTTGTAGTCTGGACAGGAGGTGCAAACCTAACAAAAGGTCTCCGTTTTAAAACGAAAATGCAATAGTGTGGACGGAGCCTTTGATGGAGGAAAAACAAGCATTGGACGCATTTGTATAAGTAATAATGACTTGTGTCATACAATGTGTGTCACATAAGTGCATAGACCTGATTTTACACGCAGGGGACAGGAATGTCTTATTTCCACTTATTCATCCATTCAAACAATGAGCGACAAGTGTCATGTTAGATGTTTTGGTCAAAAAAGTTTCTGTCTGAACCATGACAGAAACATCCCCATTGGCCTTTAATGTTTACCAGCTGATGTCAACACTGTGTAATTCTCCTGCCACAGAAATGACCACATTCACAAATCCACGTCAGAAAACCTTGTTAAATGTTAATTATCCAAAGAGGAGAACAGTTCACAGTGTTGAGTAAGAACAGTGTTCTCTTGGTAAGAACATTTACAACGCCAGGATTTTATGAGGTCTTACACTCTCAAACTAAAACAAATGCAAAGAGAGGTCAAACACAGAGGTGAAACAGCTACTTAGAAGATCCACAGATGTACACTGAATTACAGAGAAATAAGCAAATAGTGTTACCTCATCTCTAATGCTTCTTTGAGCACTTTGCCAAAGCCTGTGTCAAAACAAAACCAAAACAGTAGGACACTTCACACAGCACACAGAAACATACCTCGGAAAATTGAGCTAATCATCAAGAGAACATCACGAAAACAGTCAAAAAGTCTTGGCAAGCGCTTGCATTAAGTAGGTGGACATTGTCCGTAAGATGACAAAGTTTTACCGAAGGAATTTTTAAAAGAAGGTTGGGTTTGTGCACAGAGGGAGGTTGAGCAGACAACACGGGAAAACATGATGTTACAAACTTGTCGAAGTGGGACCAGCCTACTCCAGACACATCTGAAGAAGTGAAGTTATCAGGGGGGGGTTGTTAATAAGAAACCTTTTTCATACAACATACCTTTACCTGGATGATACAGTTAGAGATATGTGACAATTTATCATGTGCCAGTTTAGTCAAACTAAACCTGTTTATTTCACAGATAGAAAATGTGAGAAAATAGTGTAAACATTTTCCCAGGGCCCAAGTAGTTGTCATCAAATTGCTTGTTTTTTTTTTCCAATCAACAGTCCAAAACCCAAACAGATTCAGCTTACTATCACATAACACAAAATTTGCGAAGTTGGAAAATCGTATAACTTAAATTATTGCCCAGCCAGACACTGAATTTGTATAATCTATCTATTTACCAAAATACAGCAAGTAATTTGCTCTCAGTAGCTTCTTTCTTTAGACAGACCCTGCCTTGTGTCCATCTTTACTCTACATCACATTACGGTTTTACACATCAAGGCCTAAACCTTGATGTGTAATAGATAGAAATAGATAACAGAAACAGCAGTTTCTGCATTGCATCACTATCTCTGCCATTGTTACAAATCATTACATGTCTTCAAGTGATATTCCTGCTTCAGGATTGTTAATGAGAGACGTCAGTTAGACATGTTTCTTTGCC